AAGTCGAAAATAAACTGACAACGCCATGGCAAAAAGAAAAGAAGACCAAAAGACAAACAACAGTAAACAAAACACAACATAGAAAACTAAAGACTGAGCAACTCAAACCCCACAAAAAAACCAGGGGTGATCTCAGGTGCTCCGAAAGGGTAACTTTAAAACAGTATATATTGTGATTTCTTTATTTGCAGATTATTTCCTTATAAAAATAAGGAGATGTGGTATGATTGCCAATGTGACAACTATCCACCAAAGTTCAAAGGAAGTGGATGTAAGAAATTATAGACAACCATATGGCCTTTAATAATGATAAAAACCCAAACAGTATAGTTGGTTATAAAGGCCCCAGACATGAAACATATGAAACAATTCAATTGAAAAAATTAACGACCTGATTTATAAAAAAGCAAATTACAAAAAAATACATATATGACAAAATTTAATATGAACCGACTGCAACCCCTGAACTACAAGCTCCTGACTTGGGACAGGCACATAAAGAATGTGGCTATGTCAAACATGTTTGTAGGTGAGAACAGTATAGTCTGCTATAAAAGGCCCCATAAAAAACAAATTTACGAAAAACAAATACGACAAATATGAACTGACTGCAACCACTGAACTACAAGCTCATGACTTGGGACAGGCACATAAAGAATGTGGCTATGTTTAACATGCTTGTAGGTGCCCAACCCTCCCCTAACCTGGGACAGTGGTGTTGCAGTACAACATAAGAATTCTTTGTTGTCATTCATATTAAATTGGCAGGCAACTCAAATATGTTGGAGGCTCCAACATGCTCAAATCTGATGTCTTATTTAAAATTACCTGTGACCTGTGACCATAAAAAATGTTCCAAACCAATTATCTTAAATTTGCCTAAAAGTGACCTGGTGACCAGAGACAATTTTAAACAAGACCATTAACTGTGACCTAATGGTGGTTAGCCCCTTCTGGAGCCTCATGTTAGATCAAATCCTCCCCAAAAAAGAAATATGCAATTTGAAAATTATTTAAAGTGTTCCCAATATAAACTCTATAATGATGACCCCAGATTTTTACCATCTTAGAATTCTAACAATATTTCTCCCCTTTTTTCAAACAAAACATTTCTCATTATATAAATAATGTATAATGATATACTAAGTATACTGTAAATTCAGAAATTATTGCGTGCTTTTATTATTGCGATTTTTGAAGAATGGATATAAATGCGAGATTAATTATTGCGATTTTAGGAAAAGCTGCATACAGATATCAGAATGCGAGTTCTTATTATTGCGATACTCACACAGTCACATTATTCGCATAAATAAAAACCTCACAATAATTTCTGAATTTACAGTAATTCATAAATCATGGGAAGTTGACGTTTCATCGATAATGACTCGGATCAACAGAATCCGTACAAGGAATTGATATTTATAATTAAATTTACTTCCTTATCATTCTCTTTCATAACTTTTTTTTTTTTTTCAAGAAGTGACGAGATAAGACACCAACTAAACCAATTAGTTTTCTAGGACAATCTTAAATTTTTCCATGGCAAAGTTATATTTAATAACCAGAGGCTTCTAGGAGTCTTAATTAATTGCTCACTTGGTAAATAGTATGCAATTTTGATATTTATTTTCCTTCTTTTTTTTTGTGATCAAACAAATTTTAAAATCACAAAATAATATATTTTCAAATATAAAAGACTGCAAGTAAAATCAAAGCCAGTAAATTATTTTTTTTCTTTAGTGACACATTTATTTAAAGTCATGTGAAACTTCAAATTTAAGAAAGTTGAATATTTCTTATATACCTGAATGGCTTAGAGTTTTAGTATTATAAACACTTGTACATGGAATTTCTTTTAAAAGAAAATCCATAATCTTATCAAAATATTCAGATATGTACTACTGTTGAATTATAATGTCTTCTATTATCTTATTTACCAATAACTTTTCCATACGCAGTGACCTTAACCATGAGACCTCTAAATTGTACCCTGAGTCTGTAAAAGTTTTGAATTAATTTTACTGAATCTATCCTAAATCCACCACCACCACCCAAAAGACTATTCTAATATTACTGACTTTTAAATTTGGATAATATAATTTTTCAACAGGTTACCTTTTCTATGGTAGGACATCCTGGTACTAGGTCAAGTAAGAGCAACCAAAAGAAGTAAAATCAAACATATAATAGGTGCGATTAGGGGGGAAAGCTAACTGTTTTTTATGATTTTGTCGTATAAAAAAAAACCAGTTAATTTTTCCTTCAAATTGTACCCATTCTAAGCTTGATTTTACTTCTTTAACTTGCTCTTACTTGACTGAGTACCAGGATGTCCTACCACAGAGTAGTTAATCTGTCGAAAAAATATAAACTCTGGAGTCGAAAGTCGGTAATATGAAAATTCAGTCTATTGTGCAACGTGTTCACATGTCAAGATTATAATGACTTTGGTTTTTCATCCTTTATAACATGCAATTTCCCTCACGTTCCATGTGCATCATGTCTCCTCAAGGTCAATTCTCAAAACATTAAGAACACTGGCACTTTTTTAATGTAAGTTCAACTGGTTCATACTAGAAATCTGGTACCTTAGGATCCATTAGCTCATCAATAACAGCTAGTAGACCAGTAAAATACAGATTTTATTAATTTGAACCCGTAAGTGGTAAACAATTCATGTGTACATGATGGCTGTCACATGGAAAAGGACTTTATCTTTTATATCAAAAATGTGATGGCATGACAAATACGATACTGTTTAACCTCCGTGAAAGTCTTTGGTCACATGGCATTGGACTTATAGAATCTAAAAATGATTTTATAATTAATAAGAAGACTTTAAAACTAATGCCACCAGTATCGTGTTCTACCTGATATTACCTGACTTCCAAAGATTTATCAAATAAATCATTTTGCAATTAATTTTATCTTATTCAAAATGCCTATATTTACTATGTGGTGGATAAAAATAGATTTGTTATTGTTTTGATGACGAAAAAGATTATGGTTTTTATTATAAATGTGTACTTATTGTACGCTTTCGTTTTGATGAAGAAAAAGACTTATGGTTTTCATTATAAATTTGTGCGCTTTAATTCTGACATTTCTATACTCAATATTCTTCCTATATTTAACTACAGCAATCTAAGATTTGATTTTTGCAAACTTAATTTTTTAATCACATTAACACTGCAGTTATTTATAACTCTCAAATCATGAATTTCTCTAGGATTTAAAAAAAAAGGATAATAGGCGCCTGAATCACTCACTTGGATAGTTACGATTTAGCCCTAATAAAAAATATATGTTTTTCATCAGAACCAAAAAAAAAATACATATGATAACAGTATTTTCTTTAAAAAATATTAGCATTGTTTATTTTTCATTTCCTTTCACAAGTTCTGAATTTTCCTCGGAGTTAGGTATTTTTGTTATTTTACTTTTTACTCATTCTTAAATTCATAACACAGTTGGTAATTGGGAAACTGATTATTGTGAGACTGTCTTCTTGACCTTCAGCTGACAGGCGTGTCTTTTCACTTTCAATCAACCTAATTCTTTCTCTTGAATTAAACTTATGGTGAGACATTTTGGAACTCAGGAAAAAATTAACTGTTTTCCAATGATTAAATAGTTGTCTTTTGAAAACATAAAGCAATAATTTTTTTTCCCAAAATTGCACCAATTGTAAGATTGATTTTACTGCTTTTAGTTGCTCTTAATTAACCAAGTACCAGAATGTCTAACCACATAGTAATCTGTTGAAAATTATATACTCTGGAGTCAAACGTCGGTAATATGAAAATAGTCTATTTGAAAAAGGATTATTGTGAGACTGTCTCATTGACCGACTGCTGAAGTAAGGCGTGTCTATTTATTTTCATCAACCAAATTAAAGGATTTCTTTCTCTTAGCTTCCAAAGACCTATTTAATTCAAAATTGGTCTATAGTGCAATCTGACACCAGTCATGTGACCTGAATAGCAAAAGTCATGTGACCTAAATAACAAAACATTCATCAATCATGTCTTAGACATAACACACTCACATGATACTTCAGTCTGGACGTAAATTAAAATTTTCTACGACTTCTTAATTATTTCCATACTGACCATAGAACACGATTGTTGTAATCAAAATTTCTATAAATAGTAAGTTTTCAAATTAATGTGGAAGCTGATTTTTAAAAGGTACTTCCCATTAAAAAGACACATTTCCATACTGAATTTTATATTTAGTAACACTTATTAGAACTGACAGTCACTTTTTAAGGAAGTTTTATAATTACCAACCCAACTTCTATCTAAATAATTACGTCCTGAAACAAGCACTAATCCATGTATGTCATTGTGACTTATTTTTTTGTGACATAATAAAATATATTATCGCTATTTTGTGTATTTTTCTTGGATCTTTTTTTGTGATAATTTTTCACATCATGCTACTCGCTTGAGATAGAAAATTATCGTCAGAAACTAAGGGCGCATGTGACATTGTCAATGTTAACATCAACAACATCATAGGCAAAATAGCGATAAACAGATTATCAATGGTCCTTCAAACTCGGAGGATGTTTCTCGACCACATCTCATCTCAGGGCTGTCATCCTTCGATGAGATTGTGGCTGAGAAGCACCCTCCCATTCGAAAAACCACCAATAATTTATAAATACAGCTAAACATATAGCCTTAAAATTAAGAAATAATAAATGTTTATTAACTTTTGCATGAAATTTTACGGAGTGATAATACATAAAAAGGATTACTGGTACCACCAAAAATATAAACTGGTAACCTCGCTATAACAAACCCTTCATAACTGGTAACCTGTTTATAACAAACCATTCATTAACTGGCAAATCAGGCATTGTTTCTATACACAGATTTCAGAGTCAAAATCTAGGTCAATTACAAAACAATCCTAAACCGTCCCTATTCTTTCTCTTTTTATTTAAGATCTGTTGGGAAATTTGACAAACAAAGAGTGTTTAAACTTACCTTTCGAGGACTTCTTGGACTATGTGGACTTCTGGGACTTTTTGGACCACTTCTACATCCATTATCACTAAAGTCACTGTAAAGCAGACCTCGTCCAAGTAACTGTGTCTCTGTTCCCATGTCATTCCCATCAGCACATACAAAACTGCTTCCTGTACTGAAGACAGTGCTGGTAGGACTGGGAGGGTACTCAGGGCCAATAACTCCACTATCACTACTTACATCACTCAGACGATGTTGTTTTTTACGTTCTTTTTCCCATTCTTGTTCCGAAATGATAGAACTCTAATAAACATGAGATAAGAATTGAGTTAATGTTTTTTTTTCTTTCAATGTTGAAAAAACTATTTCTTAACATAAAACCATTGACAACAAATTAGAATGAACAACATACTGTAAAGGACGTTCAAGGGTAACACTTAATACCCCTGTTGCCTAGCAAAAATAATCCCTAAAGTGTTTATTTCATCACAAGACAATTTCATTCAGGAACAAGAATATAATAAAATACAGAGGACATCACGCCTTACTCATATTATTATTTATTATTATTATTATTATTATTATTATTATTATTATTATTATTATTATTATTATTATTTATTACTTATTATTATTATTATCTTTATTATTATCATTTATTATTATTATTATTATTATTATTATTATTATTATTATTATTATTATTATTATTATTATTATTATTATTATTATTATTATTATTGCATTTCCATGTTCAGTGAAACAAGAAAATATGGATCAAAACCCTAATTTGGCATATATTTTTTAAATTTCAAGGAGACTTGATTGTCAACCAAACATAATGGTTTAAACACCATGCACTTGTCCAACAAAAAAGTCCTCAAGCACCAAAGTTTAAAAAAAGTTTGTGAAACCAAATAATTATGTAGAAATTGCTAACTTTTATATCATTTAGTCTCTGGTGGAAAGTTGTCCATTTATAAATTTTGAAATTATTCAGAAAGTAAGGTTTCAAATCCTTCAAGCAAAGTTGACCTTAGATTTTTATTAGGTCCTTTTTGGTCATAAAGCTCTTCAACTATTTTTGTTAATATATAGATATAAGAAGATGTGGTATGAGTGCCAATGAGACAACTCTCCATCCAAGTCACAATTTATAAAGTAAACCATTATAGGTCAAAGTACGGTCTTCAACACGGAGCCTTGGCTCACACCGAACAATACATCCTTGGCTTTACAATATTCAGTTTTGATCATTCCTGATGAAGGTAAATCCAGAAAAGCTCTTTGCATGGACACATGAAATTTATAAATTGTTGTTTTCATTTATCATTGTTTTGTCTCATCGGCAATCATACCACATCTTGTTCTTTTTAGATTTTTATGCAATATCCTTATCTACTGTGGATTCATTATTATTTGTTGGATACCAATTTTCGTGGTTTCCCAGGGACCAAGAATTACAAATTTTCTGTAGGAATTTAAGCAGACTTTACCTGTCCTAAGTCAGGAATCTGATGTTCAATAGTTGTCATTTTTTTGATGTGGTTCATAAGTGTTTCTCATTTCTCATTTTTTATATAGATTAGACCGTTGGTTTTCCCGTTTGAATGGTTTAACACTAGTCATTTTTGGGGCCCTTTACAGCTTGCTGTGCTGTGTGAGCCAAGGCTCCATCTTGAAGACCGTAATTTGACCTATAATGGTTTACTTTTATAAATTTTTACTTGGATGGAGAGTTGTCTCATTGGCACTCATACCACATCCTCTTATATCTATTTAGCTAAACCACGAAATCAAATATCCACGAAAATGCATGAGTTCCTCAATCCACGAAAATTGGTACGCACGAAAATAAATGAATCCACAGTAATTATTTTCAAACTTACCTCTTCCTCTTCCACTTCCTCCAAGCTGATTTCATCTGCTTCAAAAATATCATTTTTACTTGAGGATGTAGTCCGAGGTTTACCTATAAAATTACAAACATTATAAATAGAAGTTATGCAATGCACATTGGCTTCATTATTATTCTTTATATAAAAATTTTCATGGATTCCATACATCTATAGGAATATATAAATCACAAATTTAAATGCCAATCTGCCTAAGAATCAGGCAGAGGTGAAAACATGATAATCAAAAACCCACTCAAGTTGACATTAATTTATGTTCAAAATGTATAATAGTGCACGAATATAACATTCGTTTACTTTTCCTGTTCTGGTAATTCAAGATATAATTTGGTTGAAATGCACTAGAAATTATCAATTAAGGGGAGCTAACTCCGTAATCTGCTATCATTATCTTACCAAAAGTTATCTAGAGATTTCCCGAATTAACAGACAAGCAGAGACAAAAGACCTACTATCTCTAACTCAGGATGAGGGTAACTTCAAAATCATTAGTTAGGATGGTTAGGTCGTTGGGTTTTTTCGGCCATGTTTTGAATTTTTCTAAATTGCCTTCTTCTTATAAAGACTGCCAGGCACTTAAATGCTCAAAAAAGTATTAACTATCATAGAACTGTATGCAGAATATGCCAAAACTACAATAATCAAATCAAGTATCAACTGAAATAGCATTGTGTTCCAATCCACAAAAAATTGTTCCCATGAAAATAAAATTGTTGAACAATACACAAATCCGAAGTAAAAATTTATTCTGTACCTAAACTTTTCTGAAAATGGTAAATATACAATCCATTTTTAACAGCAAAAAATAGCTGAAATAATTAAGTTAAAAGCACAATTTTTCCTTCTTTCTATGAATTTTGTTGTTTTTTCAGAAAAAAAAACCTTTGTTCAAATGAACATGATTGATTGATTGATTATTGGTGTTAAACAACTTTTAGCATTATTGGCTATTTAGAGACAGTCAGTTTTTATTGGTGGAGAAAGCCTAAGTGCCTGAAGAAAACCATCGAACTTTTGCAGAAAACCTGACAATTTTATAAAAATAAGGTGATGTGATATGATTGCCAATGAGACAACTATCCACTAAAGTTCAAATGAAGTGGACGTAAGCAATTATAGGCAACTGTACGGGCTTCAACAATGAGAAAAACTCATACCGTATGGTCGGCTATAAAAGGCCCCGATATGAAAAATATGAAACAATTCCATTGAGAAAACTAACGGCCTAATTTATAACAAAACAATTTACGACAAACAAATATGACAGACATGAACCAACGACAACCACAGGATAGTTTGACCAAGCAGGGTCAACAATGGGCCAGGTCTCCTCAAGAATTTTCCAGTTCAGAAGCCAAAAACTTTTTCCAAGTTAAAAAATATAATTGTACATTTTGGATTCCAATACTCTGTTTTGAAATTCTTAATTACCACTGAATGTCAATCAGCTGCAAAAAAATAACCTATCAGGTTTTTTAATTATTAAAAACAAATGTAACTTACAAACTTAAAAAGCTATTTAGATAAGATTTGAGTTATCTCCCATTACATGGATATTCTTCAAAAAATTTCAGATTATTTATTTTCAAGATGTTTATGAAAAGGTTTATTGAATTTGTTGGAATAATTTAAACACAATGGAAAATCAATGAAATTTACACAAATAATTTTAATAGTTTTATCATTTAAAACTAATAATGTACTTGCACCTATAAATGAACTATTTGAAGAAAATAATAATGAAAATACTCTTTTCCTTCAATAATGCAATTTTATTAAAATATTAATCATTTTCTTTATAACATGGACTTATTCATTCATTAGCTTAAATGTTTGTACTGTATGAAATTATATATCATTTCTAATATCACAAACAAAAAAAAACTTACAAAATATTTTAAAATCCAGCTGAAGGGAGACAACTATAAATTTGTTTCTATGAAAGCTTGTTATGTTTTGGTGTCCATTTCTAAAGATATCCCCCAAACATGTATTCTTTTATATGACATCTGATTCACAAGATATGGTTCATTTTATTCATGTTATCATTTTGGTGTATCAGAGAATAGGAAATTATCAGACATCTAGAGAGAAATAAAATAATCTAGTGATTGAAGGACTTAAAAGATACCTCCAAATTAGGCTCCAATGAAGAAATATGAATTTCTATATTTTTCCAAGTTTTTACAACTGAAAAATGTTAAATCTCAGCTAAAATTTGTGGAGAAGAGGGCGCAACACTTTATTTGATCAGCTGATGTACAACAAGAAAATATTCAACTTAAGACATTTAAATTACAGCCAGGCATTAAGACCAGTCCAGTAATTGGCTCAGACATTTGTCACATATCTGGGTTTTTTTTTAATGTATATTTTGTAATTAGGGTAAATATTTTTTCTTAAGGTAATATATAAGAAATTCATTGCTTCCCCTTTTCTGTAGAATTAATGATGACTGAGCAGTTACAACAAATCAGTCACATGTGGAGCAGGATTTGCTTACCCTTCTGGAGCACCTGAGATCACCCTTGGTTTTTGGTGGGGTTCGTTTTGCTCAGTCCTTTTTTTCTGTGTCATGCTTTGTATACTATTGTTTGTATTTTGTTCATTTTTTCGTTTTATACCATGGCATTGTCAGTTTGTTTTTCGTTTTATACCATGGCATTGTCAGTTTGTTTTTCGTTTTATGCCATGGCATTGTCAGTTTGTTTTTCGTTTTATGCCATGGCATTGTCAGTTTGTTTTTCGTTTTATGCCATGGCATTGTCAGTTTGTTTTTCGTTTTATGCCATGGCATTGTCAGTTTGTTTTTCGTTTTATGCCATGGCATTGTCAGTTTGTTTTTCGTTTTATACAATGGCATTGTCAGTTTGTTTTTCGTTTTATACAATGACATTGTCAGTTTGTTTTTCGTTGTATACCATGGCATTGTCAGTTTGTATTTCGTTGTATACCATGGCATTGTCAGTTTGTATTTTGTTGTATACCATGGCATTGTCAGTTTGTTTTTCGTTGTATGCCATGGCATTGTCAGTTTGTTTTTTGTTTTATACCATGACATTGTCAGTTTGTATTTTGTTGTATACCATGACATTGTCAGTTTGTATTTTGTTGTATACCATAACATTGTCAGTTTGTTTTTCGTTGTATACCATGTCATTGTCAGTTTGTATTTTGTTGTATACCATAACATTGTGAGTTTGTATTTCGTTGTATACCATGGCATTGTCAGTTTGTATTTTGTTGTATACCATGACATTGTCAGTTTGTATTTTGTTGTATACCATGACATTGTCAGTTTGTATTTTGTTGTATACCATGGCATTGTCAGTTTGTATTTTGTTGTATGCCATGGCATTGTCAGTTTGTATTTTGTTGTATACCATGACATTGTCAGTTTGTATTTTGTTGTATACCATAACATTGTCAGTTTGTATTTCGTTGTATACCATGGCATTGTCAGTTTGTATTTTGTTGTATACCATGACATTGTCAGTTTGTATTTTGTTGTATACCATAACATTGTCAGTTTGTTTTTCGTTTTATACCATGGCATTGTCAGTTTGTATTTTGTTGTATACCATAACATTGTCAGTTTTTTTTTCGTTTTATACCATGGCATTGTCAGTTTGTATTTTGTTGTATACCATAACATTGTCAGTTTGTATTTTGTTGTATACCATAACATTGTCAGTTTGTATTTCGTTGTATGCCATGGCATTGTCAGTTTGTATTTTGTTGTATACCATGACATTGTCAGTTTGTATTTTGTTGTATACCATAACATTGTCAGTTTGTATTTCGTTGTATACCATAACATTGTCAGTTTGTATTTTGTTGTATACCATAACATTGTCAGTTTGTATTTCGTTGTATACCATGGCATTGTCAGTTTGTATTTCGTTTTATGCCATGGCATTGTCAGTTTGTTTTTTGACTTTATGAGTTTGGTTATCCTCTTTATTTTAAGCCCAATAACAACCCATGTAATTTTCAACTTTATGGCTAGCAAAAATTCCCACCTGCTGGTAGATGAGATGAGCCTGTAAACGGATCACTTTTATACGGCCTCTCCTTCCGTTCCCGTCTCTTCTTTAGAGCATCAGAGGTAGTGCTATTACAGACATCAGAGGTTGACCTTGTCACCGAACTCTGGAATGAAAGAAGTTAAGATGTACTACAAAAAATACACTGGAAAAGGGAAGACAAGATATACAACACAAAAAAACTTTGAAATGTTAAAATAAAAGGAGTCTAATGTCAAAGACAATGTTAAAAAAAATATTCTGAAATAAAAAAAGTTAAAATATGTACTTATAGTCTATACAGTATGGGTTTTGCTCATTGTTGAAGGATGTACAGTGACCTATAATTGATAAATTTGAATCATTTTGACTCTACTGGATAAATGTCTTATTGGCATTCATACCACATCTCCTTTATACTTATATTTTATATTATAAAAGGGAGTCAAAAGCTATTTCAATCAGTCATTTTCAGAAACCTGAATTGACTTTAAAATTACTTGGAAATCCTGCTACAGTATTCTTGTTCAATGCAAAACTTAAATAACAATGATTAGAAGTTTTATTCCCTGTTCTACATAGATGGTAATATAGGTATTTGTTTTGTGTATATAGTATATGTAAATACATTTTTTTTACTCCAATATTTATAAAAATAACATGATGTTCAAATAAAAAACTCCCAACCTACAAATGCCAAAACTTTTTGGGGTACATGTATTTAACTAATGATTTCTAGAATTTTAATTAAATTTTATTGGGTATCCTCTACAGAACACATAATTATTCTCTAAGACTAAGAGAGTAATCATGTGTTTGAGAGAGGATATACCACATAAAATTAAATTAAAAGAACATGATGTTCAAATAAAAAAAACCTACAAACCAAAATTTTTTTGTGGTATTTAATTAAGGATTAGAACTTTTAAAGACAAACAGATTATAATCCAATTTATATGGTTTCTATAAAGTCTGAATACACAGATTAATCACATACTTATTGACTTAGTAAAGCCAGACCAAATATTGACTGATACTGTGTTAGGGAATGATTAGCCGAATTGAGTTTTCCAACTAATTCTAATGTAAACTTATCTACATGTAGTGATCTCATTTAACTGAGTATTACAAGTTATATTACCCAGTCATGCTGCATTCAGGTTTCAAGGTTTTATTTTTTTTATTTTTTTTTTCAGGTTAATTTTCTCAAATTTTTTTTGACCAGTATTTTTTTTATTTTGTTGTGTTTTGTTTTTTTTTTCTATTTTTTTTTTTTATTTTTTTGGTTAGTTTTTTTTTTTTAGTTTTTTTTTTGGTTGGGGTATGGGTTGTGGGTACAGACTTCATTTCATTTTTCTCATTGCAGCTTGGATCAATTAATAAATCCTTCATTGTAGAATGTCATTAATAGAAAAAAAGATGAAACCTGTTGTCACCATGGTCACTGAAATCAAAATGAAAAGATATGATAAACTTTTATACTAAGCTCTTCAACTCACCTTGGAATCGTCTTCTACTTGTAGATTTTGTTGAGACAGATAGTTATCCACTTTGTTAGAAATGCAATGGGTCGGACTAGAATGGTTTTCAGAATTAGTTCCAGACACAGAATTATCATTGACCTTATCTGAACAATCACTGGAAGAACTGGGAACAGAACTATCTGTAGGTTTGTCTGAATTGTCACTCCATAATTCCACATTCTGAATATCACAAGAGTTGTCTTTTCCTGATGTTATTTTACCAGAAAATGTGTCCTTCTTAGGTATAATATGAGTAAATGCATTATTGTTTGATGAAATTGAGTCGTACGTATTCCGCTGAGATAGAGAAGTATCAAAGCTATTATTTTGGGGCAAATCCTGTTCAGAGTTATCTTTTCCTGACGTTGAATCACTGTTACCTCTCCCTGAATTTAAATTACTAGATTCAGAATAAGCTGCCCTTAAATTAGCACTAGATTCATTATTTTCTGGAGAGTCTATGAAATTATATCCTTTTGAAGAGTGGTTGTTTAGATGTAAATTATTATCTCCCCTTGTAGAAATGGTAGTATGCACAGAATCATCTCCTTTTAAGGGTGTTTCCTGTTCACCAAGGTTAAATCTAATCACATGATCACTAGAGAAGTCAAAAGACCCAACAGTAGCGGATGAAGGGTTGCTACTCGAGTCGAATGTTGAAGCACTAAATAAGGGACTAAATGTCGAAAAAGTTTCACAACTCTGTACACTTTTTATTTCCAATGGCGGAGGTTTAAATTTCATCTTAACCTCGTCCAAAGATTTTCCAGTATGATTAGCACTATCAACTTTTAATTGAGAGTCTGATTGACTTCGTAAAAATGGCTTCTTTTGTCCAATTTTCCGTTTTCGAGATGCACGAAGAACTACACGCTTTTTGGGGTCAGATACATGCTTCGGTGGTAAGCCAATACCAGATTCCTCTGGTGTTTTTGGCAATATACGTGAACTCTTTGGTTTTTCTACATTTCCATCATTTTGACCTATATGAACATGATCTTTCTTATCCTTATTCCTATCAACAACAATTTGTTGTTGCCTTGGAGATGACACAGGACTAGATGAACTCTTTATCTTAACTGGGATAGGAATTTCACTCCTCCGAGCACTTTTGAACTTTTCCTTCAGAATGTTTGCAGAATTTTCAATAACACTTAAATCAGATTTGTCCTCAGCTTCTACGTCATACATAGAATGTTTGTCACAGTTGGATTCGCCATTGTTTGTACTTAAAGACTGATCTTCGTGGTTTTGAAAATATTTTTCTTTGATTCGTTGGCATCTTGAATGTGACCTACTTTTTGGCCTCTCATTTTCAAATGTTCTATTTTTATCACAGTTTTCACATGAAGTTTGTTCTTCATCATCATACGGACCTTCTTCTGGAATTTCTTTAAAATGTTTGGACATCTTAAATTCATGAAAACTTGGTATAGCGAATTTCTTTCGATTGCTAGTCCTTTGTTTAGACAAACTACTATCAACAGATGAGCGAAGAATATCATTTTCTGTTTGATTGTCCAAAATATTGGTATTTTCTTTATCTGACCCTTCACCTCTATTGTAATCATATTCACAAACCGTATTACGACGAGTCCGTGTAACAGGTGAATTTTCCCATTCACTTTTCAATTTGTCATCATTAAACGAAAATGTTGAAATTAAGTTTGTTTTTCTTTCTTGTGATTGGTCATCGTCAAAGTCTAACTGAGACAAATCTAAATTTGATAACGCCTTCTTCATTCCTGCTCCTCGCCCCTGTCTCAACGAAATCTTGTCGATCAAATTTTCATGTTTTGATAAATATTTCTTGAAAAGATCGCTATTCAGCATAACATCAACACGGGAAGACACTGATACCCTAGACACATTACTGGGTCGACATGATTCTGGTCGTGGTGGTTTTGATGTTAATGATGTCCGATGTCCTGAATCACCTTTAGAAATCACGTTCTTTTTTCGACATAACAGGACACTACCACTCTTGGATGTTTTACGTGTACTGCTTTTGGAATCACCTGATATTTTTTCATTTTCAGAATTTTCAGAATTTTTTAGTGCAATTGACGGAATCTCAGATTCGTCTATACCAATGCTGTTACTTTCGTTCTCAGAATCATTTTGATTTTCTGATTTTAAAACTGAATTTGTAAACTCTACATTCTCCAAATCCTCAATTTGAATATCTGTGCTATTCTCGTAAGAAGAATGAATCTTATCTGAATCTGAATCATTTTTTCTATTCCCAATGCTATTTTCCATCGCTTGAAGTTCTGATTTTCTAGGAGATGTTTTGGAAAACACGGGTGATCCTGAATCCCTACAATCTATGTCATCAATACTAGAGATTGATGTGGTACTCAATCCATGGTCATCATTTCCGCTATCATGGCTCTTTGCCCGAGACTGCTTCTTCTTGAACTTATCTAAATCACTTATATCTAGACCACTATCTCTACGTACAAGCTTTGTTCTGCTTATGCTGTCAAAACCTACGTCAAGACCACTATCTCTGCGGGTTGTATTTATGGGTCCAGCCTTAAGCAACAATTCATCATGTTCTGTTTCCATGACGATGTTTTGTCCATTTCAACTAAAATAAAAAAAATATATAGATTGTTTTAATAATTCTTAGTATTCAAAGGGAGATAACTCAAGAAAAATAAAGAAATATTTCAGTCTACAAAAACACATTAAAAAGTTAAGTTAATTAAGACATGTAGGAATTCATAGAACTCCCCCCCCCCCCCCACTCACTCATGAAAATTCTTGTGCCTAGCAAAGCTTTTGTGCCATCTTAATTATTTAAGCCTTATGATACAGCTGATGAGCTTGACAGTTAATATGTGTAGGCCAGAGCTTCTGTGTCTGCCACAGTTGTCATTCCTGCTAGCAAAATAATGATTAATTGATTGGTTGTTGCTTGCTAAAATGTCCAGTGGCAAATATTTCATGCACACTATGGATTCATTATTATTTGTGGGATATCATACCAATCAGGTGCGGATCCAGGATTTTGAAAAAGGGGGACCCCCTAGCAAGCCAATGCTTAGGGTAATACTAGTAAAAAGTCTATGGGTTTATTATATATGAAGCTCCCTGCCCCCACCCCTCCCCCCTTTCTAAATCCAATTCTGTCAATATATGTAGATTTCTTGGGTAATAAATTCACAGTATTCAGGAAGAGAGCCATCAACAATTAATACTTTTTAAATTTTACTATAGAAGTGTAATTCTCATTCAAGAGGATTTTAACCCATTCATTTAAACATTGTTGAATGTTAAAACAAATGGTTAAATATGTGTCAAGTCCTTATTGTATTTAAGCATCTCAAAATAAACCCTCGTTTCATTAACCAAACTTATTTATTCTAAATACCGTTTAAAGTCTTCAATTGTCACTCGACGGATAAAGTAGCAGTTTTAGGTCAGGTTATTTGAAGCCCACCCCCTTAATAAGGAATCGTTTTGTTCCGTTTGACAATACGAAAAACTATTAAATATCGATAGCATTCAGATAAGTTTATCTGAATTAGATCAAAAATCATATTTAAAAGATCGTTATAATGTTTAAATAATTATTAGGTGATGTACAATTACATGGTCCAATAGTCAAAAGACTTCAAATTCAGACTTTGGTTCGGTGTAAAATATTCATTATATTTAAAGTGCATTTAATTGTTTCTAAATCAGGACCAATAGTGCTTCATATTTCTATTTCGTATAAGAATATTAAATTGATATACTTAAAGTACATTCAATTGTTTAAAGATCGTAAAATTTGCATTTTTTAGAATGAAATAAGATATTTTAGATGTCTGCAGTTTAAAGATCATCAAATTTGTGTTTTTAAGAATGAAATAAAAGATTTTTTAGTTGTCTGCAGGCATTTTTCTATATTGAAACAACAATCAAACAGAACAAAGGCTAAAAAAATTATCCAGAGCTGCTTATAACCATTATCATGCAATGTTGTACCCCAACTTTTTGGATCACCATGGTATGTGTGGCAACAAATAAGTTGTTTGCCAAAAACTTTCTTTTTATTCATACTGTGAATTAGTAGTTCTCCTCTACAAAACAGTTTAAAATTGAGAATGGAAACGGGGAATGTGTCAAAGAGACGACAACCTGACCTTGACTATTTTGTGCCAAAAAATTATATTTTTCAGATCAAAGAGTTAAGATGTATGGACAGAATAACCAGGATGTTTAACAATTATTACATCCAGTGGCAAATTAAATATGAATAAGAAGATGTGGTATAAGTGCTAATGAGACAACTCTCCATCCACGTCACAATGTGTAAAAAGTAAATAATCATGGGTCAAAGTACGCCGTTCAACACGGACCTTGACTCACACCGAACAGCAAGCTATAAAGGGCCCCAAAATGACTAGTGTAAAACAATTCGATACAAAGGATGAGAAGTTAATAATGTGATATCAATAATATAAACTCTGCTTTATATGAGACTGACACACTGAGCGAGGTAACAGTCCGCAGGAAGACATTGTTACCCTACCCGGACACATGATTCTTATACCAAGCTGACCAGCCTTTGCTTTAACTCCTAAATGCCTTGTGCTTAGGGTAGAAGCAGCAAATACCAATTTTCAAGACTTTGGTTTGACCATAGGTGCTGATCCAGATTTTGAAACAGAGGGGACTCCCTGGCAAGCCACCGTTGGGAGTGATACTTGTAAATAGTCTATTTATTTATCAAATATAAAGTTCCATAAGGGGGGACTGGACCTCTGTCAAATAAATTGAATTTGGACCAGGTAACGGATCAAACCCCACCACTGTAGGGAATTGAATATTATGGAAGACCGCATGATGCCTTATGGTTCACAAATCGTTTTGTTGGGTAGCTGTCTAGACCTTGCATCTTGATCCTTTTATTTATACTAAAATGTATGCAAAAAAACTTTTGATTGAGCTATTGCATTTATATTTTTATTGCTGGAAAATTTATTATTCAACAAACAAGATGACAATATATTTTTTATTTCACAATCGTTTCTTACTTCTGAAATAAAATAGTTACTTAATTATTACCATTTCAAATGATATTAGTCAATTAATATAGCATAAATCAAATCTGTGTGCCTTTTAAAGCCATAAATTAAATAAGGCCAAGTTATAAGTTCACAATTAATGTATTAAACATTGCGTCAGTATTAAGCTGTTTTAATACACTAATACACGCTTCATAGAATTAAATTATCAATAATCATATATCTTTAATTGCCAAATAACCAAATATTGATTATATTTTGTTTAGTAATATTGATTAAAATTTGACTATAAAAGTTATTTCAGCAGTTAATAATAAAATCATAACAGGCCATTAGCATTGATATTTTCAAAAATGTTATTTTCACTTAAGAATGATTTCTAAATGTAGTACAAATTTTATCTGCATCAAAAGTTTCAAACTTAACAGGGCCAAATAAGATATCGTATTTTGGCTGTAACAAAATGGCATGAATTCAATATACATGTTATTCATATGGTATTTTCCATTTATTTTGGGACCCCATTTTTGGCCAGGACCATGGTCACAATTTTTTTTAGCTTTAATAGTTTTCTGTATAATGATTTTTTAATACAGCTATCTTTGTGTTGTCTTTATATATTTTAGTCAGTTGCAGATTCCATACCTGTCAATAATCCTATTATCATTATTCCTTATATTCAATATAATATTACAGCAAAATTGAAACGGTAAGCACAAAAATTACCAACACTTCTGATTTTGTAACTTTGAACTTGGACTTTCTGCAAAAAAATTACAAGTGTCTACAATGTATATATACTTCAATATGTGCCTGTCCCAAGTCAGGAGCCTGTAATTCAGTGGTTGTTGTTTGTTGCTGTATTACATATTTGTTTTTTCGTTCATTTTTTTTTTCATAATTTAGGCCGTTAATTTTCTCGTATGAATGGTTTTACATTTGTCATTTCAGGGCCTTTTATAGCTGACTATACGGTATGGGCTTTGCTCATTGTTGAAGGCTGAAGAAGTTCTAAAGAAATGATATGAGACAAACACCAAAGCGGTTCTAGAAAGATCTGCACGCAAACAACATGGAAATCCCTAAACCCGGAAAAAAACATTAAAATATAAAACAGCTGACTACCTTCCTGACTTGCATTTATTAATGACTAACACCCAAGGACTCATCATGAACTTATCTGATTTTATATTGTCTATCTTTTTTAAACCCAGTCTTATGAGTACATGTTAATCTGACGTCCATCTTTATTAAACCCTGAGTCTTATGACTGCACTATAATTTGGCAACATTTGCAGTGATATTAAGATAATTTGAATCTCTCATAATGACTTTAATAATTATCAATTGTTTGGGCTTGTCTAAAACAATACAAGTTTATTTGTTTATTTCACTCGATAGCGTCATATTTTGTGTGAAACATTATACTTGTAGACATGGTTCAGAGTTTTTAGACCAAATATTAAGTACAGTGTCAAATATCAGTTCCCACAAAGCTAATTCTAGAATATATTCCAGGTATAATTACATGGTTTTATTACACAAGATAAGTATATTTTAGATTGGTGGGAGTCCCAAAAAGGGGGTAGAAGTCCCAAAAAAAGGGGGTGGAATGCAAATAATATAAATAGTCATTATAAGCAAAAGCAAAAGCTATAAATGTTATAGCAAATGTTATAAAAGCTTATGAAGCTTAACATATGAAAAATAATGTGATATAAGAAACATAATAAAAGATGTTGGTTTTCCCGTTTGAATGGTTTTACACTAGTAATTTTTGGGGCCCTTTAAAGTTTATAGCTTGCTGTTCGGTGTGAGCCAAGGCTTCGTGTTGAAGGCTGTACTTTGACTTATGATTGTTAACTTTTTATACATTGTGACTTGGATGGAGAGTTGTCTCATTGGCACTCATACCACATCTTCTTATTTATATGCAATATAGAATAACTGAGCTATACTGTGAATGAAAAAAAAACTTTGTGCAATTTCAAATTTATTAAAACCATACGTTGTGCAGGCAAATAAAAGAGAGAAAAAATACTCCTCTTGCATTTCACTTAGAATCCAAGACAGATAATAAAAGCTGGCATAATAAGCATAGCATAGAATACTTAAAATGGATATGACCTAAGCTGATGAAAATTTAACAAATATATCAATAATCTGCACAAACTGCATGTGCACTTATATCATTTTCATTCAACATATTCAATTACTTAAAATATTTTTAAACTAATAGAAAATTTTTTTTTTTTTCTAAATTCATCAGCTATATATCATTCCATAAAGCAGCTAGAGTAAAATCTTACCATATGTTGATGTTCTAACCCTAAGAATATTATCTACAATATTGGAACATTTAAAATTATTTAAACAAATTTTGAATTCAACGAATATCTATATAACTATATTTACTATCTTTAAATACTGTTAAGTCAATATGGCCCCTAACAAAAAAAAATTCCTGGAAATTCAATTCAAGCAATTTAAAAGCTCAAAATTTTATTTCCGAGTTACATGATAAAAAAAACAAGAAAATGGCATGTCACTCCATAGAGTGGACAAAGTGACT